CTTGATGTTTCCTGCTTACCCGGTGAGTGTTCCAGATCCTCGATGCAAATACAGAAAATGAACAGCTTTCCCTTTCCAAAGAGAGTACCGAAGAATTCCCCACTCCAGAAACTACGCGGAATCTGGGCACGAACTTGACTCGTGGGGTATTTGTGGGATCATTTGGGTGGACGCGCGAAACTTCAAAATGGCGGCAGAGAAAGCCAGTTTTTCCAAAAAAGTTGTTATTATCGAAGAAGACATTCCCGGAGCAAAGCTTCCTCGGGAAAACGTTGAAGAGTGTACTGTACCACAGCTTAGACGAAGGCTGTTGTCTAGAGGAGCGAAAACAAGCGGCAAGAAAACCGGTCTTGTCAAGAGGTTTGTTCAGACGATGTTATGTTCTTGTTATTGATCATTTGTCAGGGTTTGTTATTTTGAAAAACTGTCCAGCTTAAATTTATAGGAACACATCGCTTGCTTTACGGTTTATTTTAGATATAACGACTATGTCAAGGGAGGCCTTCATTTAAAAACCTCACGAGATCCGGATGGAGGTGTGCATCTTGCGCGAAAGAAAGTCTTACTGGGTTTAATAGATGAAATAGACCCTCCACATGTTACTGATATTTTCCCTAAGGATGGTTTACATAAGGATCTTACTGATTTGCCACATGTAAGAATTCTTGGTCGACCTGGTTGCAAAACTGGGGGGGGGGGGCAATCAAAACATTTTCGATCATAATTTCCATAGCTCGTGTTTTTCACTGCATCCTTCACCATACCAAAGCAAAGCATTAGTGTTTTATGATTGGGAAATCCAGTGTAAAAAGCAATGTCTGAGACCTTATCTTTGAAGTAATTAATGTAAAATCTAAGTAGTCCCGTTTCGGTGGCAAAATTTTACTTTTACCGCTTCATAACATTCAGTTTGCAGAGATTCATCTTTGTTACGTACTTGTTCCGTTTGCATACTTTGAACACTTGTGAGCAGCACATCCTCCGTCTGACAGAGATCACTTTCTGGCAAAGGGTCTTCGGAATGGACTTTCTTTACAATTTTTTCGGAAGAAACACGCTTTAAAATACGTCGAGTTTCCACATACTTAGACCATAGAAAAATCGAAGGTAAATGAAGCCTGCTGCGCTTATGTCCACCCTCAAAGTGATCCCCACAAATACGTGTATTATCGGCGTCGATTTTTAATGTTACATTACGAATTAGAATTTTGTACTGTTTTCGTAATTTTTTGTCCTTTGGAATTCGGTAATGCGAAAGCCCATCCTTGGTTCTGTAATTATTCGTACATCCAGGTACACAACAATTAGCATGCTTTACCATTTTTTTCTTTAATGTTTTGTGAAAACTTTCCTTGCTACCACCATTTTGAAGTTTCGCGCGTCCACCCAAACGATCCCAGAAGACCCTACGAGTCAAGTTCGTGCCCAGATTCCCAATAGCTTCTGGAGTGGGGAATTGAGCTAACCGGGAGGCGGTTATGAACTGCAAATTGTGATTTTCTTTTAAGATCAGTGTCTAAAGGTACTAAATAACAGCTATGCAACAACAGGAGTATCGAATGGTCTTTGCGAGCACTTGCGAGCATGCAAGCAATATGTTTATTTTTGCGAGCACGAGCAGTTGTCAAATTTTTTCCTGCGAGCACGAGCAGTTGTCAAATTTTTGCAGCGAGCAGGGAGCACTTTAAAAAATACAAATGGCGACCAGCGAGCACTCTGGAAAAATACAGATGGCGAGCAGCGAGCACTTCGAGTACTTCATAAATTTTCTGCAAGCTGAAATCTCTCGTTTATTAGTAGGATACGTTGTTTTGCGCCAAGTAATTTGGCTGACACCTCCAAAACAGAACATTAAGTGAAAAGCTAGGGCGGCTGAACCAGTCCTAGCATCTTAAACCAATTGTGCTCTGCTTAATGCCAAATTACGTCAAGTAGCTTCACGTGAGTCAGTCGGGGTTGACGCTCAAGTCAAGAGCTCACAAGGAGATGTACGAGATCCAAAGCCCGTGATCTAAAGTTTTTCATCTCTTTCTAACCTGACGCTAAAATGGAAGGTATGTTATTTCTGGGTACATAGTTCTTAGGAAATGTAAGTAACGTGAATTTCGGTCTAACAAGCATTTAGGCCTTCGGTTTCGATGATTGGCAAACTGGTTTCCCGCTGATTGACTGCAAAAGATTCCACGCAATGAAGCTTCATTTATTAGCTATTATTTGGAGGCTTCTAGAATCTAACCAATTACAGCCGTACAGACCTGCTAAACTCTAGTAGTACTCTGAAGGTCAAATAGTACTGGTTATAGTAGTATTTCTCTAGATTACTTTCTACCCTCGCAATTGCCTTTCGAGAAGAATCCTTACATTTCGCGTTTCCGCGCGACATGGAGACAGTTTCTAGACATGTCTCGTTTGGCGAGGCCTTTAGTTTTTGATCAAAATAGTTAAAGCAACATTTCATTTAAGAAATTCCCAGAGCTGGTGAAGCCCAAACGACCGAGGGTTGCTATTAGTACTCTTTTGTTTAATCGGGTTTCATATTCCACCGTTTGGCATCAGATTATTTAATAATTATTCCACGAGCGCGCGTTGGATATGAGATGATAGACAGCCAACGAGGCGCGTAGCGCCGAGTTGGCTGTCTATCA